ATTTTGGACTTGCTTTGGTCCCATTCTTTTGTATCCCCGTCTTTACCTTTGGGAATGGAAAAGTCTATCTTATGCCACTGAATGTTGGAAGTGTTTTAACTTTCTTTTCATTTGTGCAGGGGCTTGCAGCTAAGTTTACTTTAAATCTCAGAGATTTTTGACTTTTCAGCAGTTCAGAAATTGTTAGGTCTTTGGAAACTCTTGGAGATGGACTAAATGCCTTTTTAAAAATAAAGGAATGTGCCTGAATCTTTAGGGCGCCAGGGGCAGAATGTTATGGCTTGTGTCTAGATGTACCCCCAAAGCCTCATGCAGTCATAAGTGTGTGATGCTGGGATTAAGGGCATATGATTACTAAACCAAGTGAGTGATTGGTTTGGCACCACACTAACCCTGGTAGTCTGGATGGGATAAAAGGGGGAAGAAGATACTGTTAAACTCTCTTGTTGCTTTGCTACCATTAGTCTCCATGAACTGTTGACCCTCTGCCACTCTGCCTTGCAGCCAGCCGATTACAGACTGAAACCACTCATAAACCTTTAACTTTGAAGGGTATTTGTTGGGTATTTTGTCTCAAAATCAAAAGTATTGATTCTTAGATTTCTCTCTCTTTCTCATATATATATCTCCCTTCTCCTGATTCCTAAATATTCACTCCTTTCTAGAAATCAAGTTTCTTGGGACCACTGTGCTGGCAATGGTTTCAGTGACTAAAATCTCTTAGCCTACTTTGCAAATTTAAGCAGGTTTTCTATCATCACAAAGTGGCTCATTTTGTTTTGCTTGTTTTTCAGTATGCCATTTTTGGTATAGCCATTTCTTTTGGATTTATCTAATTTCTTTACTTTTGCTTTTCGTATTCCTTGGAATTTCCTGCAGCAAGGAAGAAAGTGGAATGCACCCAAGAAAACAAGGTGTGAATGACCAGCAACTTTACTTTGTGCTGTCCACAGGATGAACTGCAGACATATGTCTGTCAGCAAATCAGAAATTTCAGGGTCTTTTCAAATTAACAAAAACTATAGAGCAATACATATCTCTCATGAGCATAGGTAAAATTGAATCCTACAATGAATTATATATGATTTACAATGATTTAGTGAGGTATACAAGCCTCGCTCAATGCTTGCAAATTAATTAATGTAATCCATAGTATCAATAGGGTGAATAAGAAAAGTCAAATAATCATATCAATGGGCACAGGAAAGCATATGATAATATCCAACACTCATTCATAATAAAAATTTGGCAAACTGAATATGGGGAGGAGGGTTTTTTTCTCATCTCAAAAAAGAACTTCCATAAAAAACTAATGCTAGCAACATGTTTAATGGTTGTGAGATGCTGGACACCTTTCCCTTAAGATGGGGAACAAGGTAAGGATGTCTTCTCTTACCATCTCATTCTCTGCTCTACTTAAAATTCTAGTTAGTGTAATAAAACTGGAAAGGAAAAATTTAAAATACCACTTGTGAAGGAAGAAACAAAAATTGTTTCTTCATATACGGCACAATTATCTACGTAATGTGAGACCTAACTAATTCCATTTTAAAGTTAGACTCCATCTTAAATATAAGACAGTAAAGTGGCCTTGACATAAATTCCACTTCACTGAAGTCAACTATTCCCCTAGTCTCCTTTGTGCCCATAAACTAATGATAAAATGTCCTTGCTGTGGGACAACAGATAAAAAAAAAAGAGACACAGCTCCTAACTCAATCCTCTGTCTGCCCAGAAAACAGATGCTCCCGGGCCCATTATCTATAGAACATTCTGTCAATGTGCTGATGGTTCCTTTTTCCCATAAACTCTACACGTAGCCACCCCTCAACCCCCCATGCTTGCTAAATATCAACCAATCATGTAACTGCTAAATGGAACATCCCCAAACCTTGCGGTAGCCACAATAAAAACCCTGCTGATTTAGAATTCAGGGCTCTCAATCCTGATCCGTTGCGTCGGTGACGGTTGAGTGCCCCTGCTCGAGCTTTAATAAACGACCCTCGTGTGTTTACATCAGAAACGGCTCCTTGGTGGTCTTTGGGGACTTTGCGATCTGGGCACAACAGTATAAAATCCCAAGAATCAACAAGAACAATGGTATGGTGTTCCTCAAGCCTGCTGATCAGTCCTGTGAGGGGAAATAGAACTTTAAACAGGAAAGTCTGGCAGGCTCAGGTGATTTTTGTGCCAAAGCAAGTTTAAGATCCCTGCTATAACCTCATGAAGTAAAGGTGGCTGGTTAATATTTTCTTAATGAGGATTTATATGAATCTCACCTGTTTGTAGCATTTACACCTTATTTGCTTTGATACAGATTTCAAAGCTTTAAATTTGTCCCGATTTTCCAAGCCCACCTAGGAGACCCTATAACAAGACTGTACAAGGCCAACTATCAGCCCAGTCCACTAGAGAGCTTGCTGTATAGGAAATCTGGTGTCCCTAAGTGATAAATATTAATGTTGTTAATGTGATGCAGCTGGTTCTACTGAACTTAGGAAGCACAGAAAACCCAGACTCAAAATCATGCCATATATTAGCTTTCCCATCACTGTACACAATACCCAGCACTTGTACCTTAAAGGAGGAAAGCTTTAAATCAACTCACAGTTTGGGAGGATTCAGTTCACAGCTGGCTCCCAGGCAGGGCCATCACAGTGGAAGGCATGGTGGAGCAAAGCTGCTTAGTTCACAGTGGCCAGGAGCAGAGCAGGGAACAGCAGTAGAGAAGATGAGGTGAGGGACCATTACAGCACCCCAGGCCATGCAAGACAACCCAGGAATGCACTCTACTAATCTGACAGGTGTTTCTCAATCTGATGAATTTAACATATCAGGATTAAGTCACAATTTACCCCTTGTCAACTTCACACCTACACACATTTTAAATCATACTTAAGCCCCAGTTAAATACAGAAGCAAGTTCACAGTTCTGCCTAACATAATACAATTATCCCACAAACAGACATATGATCCTTTCCCCCAAATATCAACTGTTCCAGCATTTTTCAGAAGTCCAAGTCTCTTCTGAAACTTAAGGCAAACTCTTAGCTGTGAACAATTAAAAAAAATTGTCATATGAGCCCAAGACTCAAGGCACAGGGTAAGCATTCCCATTCCAAAGGAGAGGCGGTAGAGGGAATAAAAAAGAATTAGACCAAAGCAAGACCAAAACCCAGCAGGGCAAACATTAAATCCCAAAGCTCTGTGTCCAGCATCTGGGACACATCATGATAAAGTGAGCTCCAGACAGCATGAACAGCCCCATCCTATGGCCTTGCCAGTTGCAGCCTACAAGGTGTCTCTTAGGCTGGTTCCACTCATGGCCTGCAGCTTTCCTCAGCTGATGATCCACATTCCTGGCAACTCTGACTTCCTGCGGTCTCCAACTGAACCTTTGGCTTCATTCCTGCAGCTTTGCTCAACTTCTTCTCAAGGTCAAGTTTGGGGGTATTTAGTTCATAATTAGCTGGCTCTAAGGGAGGAACATCACAGCAGAAAGGTATGGTTCATGGTGTCTGGGAAGAAGAGCAGAACAGTGCCAGAGAGGAATGGGTGAGGGACTGGATAAAATACCCAAGGCCATGCCACTTCCATTCACCCAGATCTACTAGGCATTTTTTTTTTTTTTTTGGTGGTACCAGGGATTGAACTCAGGAGCTTGCACTTGCCAGGGAGATGTGGCACCACTGAGTTATAGCCCCTGTCCTTGCTAGCCATTTCTTAATCCAGTGAAATCTATACATCAGTATTAATGGTCACATACCATACAACGGTTCACTTAATCCATTCTGACCTTCACAGGAATGGTTTTGCTTCTTCATGACATAACTAATCCCAAAGAGAACATTTTCTAGTCACTTGGCAAAAGGTGGCATTAAAATAGACTGGAAATAAGGTGAAAAAAGCAAGTTGGAGCAAGCAGGACTTTCTGAATGAGTAATGCAAATTAATGCAGTTTGGTGTGCTGAAACTTGCCTGGTATCTACGTAGACTACAGGTGCCATTTGGAGGAGTTTTTAAATTGGAAAAGTGGCAACCCCCTGAGTTAAAAGGAAAAATAACATCTTAAATGTGTCAACTTTAATTTTGTACCTTCCAGACTTGGCTAAGTTGCTTCTAGTCTGTTCTGAGGCCTGGCAGCTCATGTTGGCATTTGTACCCAGCACTCTGCCTTCTCTGCCATCTGTGGCTCTGTCCCTCAGCTTCACACAGGCTGCCTTCCATTCAGCCCTAGTCTGGGGTTTAGCTATATTTGTTTAAATTGCTGAAGCTTCTCATTACCAGTGGAAAATGGCAGCTTCCAGGTCCCTGGCTCCCAGCCCAAGCCTCCCTCCCACTTGGTCCCCCCAAATTCAGAACTGACAGGGGAAACACTGAGGAACCCAAGCTGCGGAGCTGCTGGAAAGCTCCTGCAGGTGGCCCTGGGCCTCTCTCAGATTCCCAGCTGCTCTACCATTCACATTGTCTTCCTCTCATACGACCTCCTCAGATGTCGGTCTGGTAAAGGCTGGCCCATCTCGGAACATGCAGTGGCGAGTGGGATACAGGGCCCTTTCCTGAGGATGGGGACTGTGCCCTGCAGGTCTGTGGCAGATAGGCCTCTGGGTGCCCAGGCATCCCTTTCACCGAGTTCTTAGAGCTGAAAGTAAAATGGAGATAACCAATGGATTCCGGGGTGTTAGACAGGTGCTCAACACAGAGTAAGTATCTGAGAAATGTTAGCGACTGTGATTTTAAGACTTTAATGGTTAGGAAAATGGTAGAGGAAAAACCATTCCCGGGTGAGCCCAAACAGGCTCCTAGGTAATTTCTATCAGGACCCTCTCAGTGATTACCATGAGAATTTCACTAGACCACAGGGATTCTGGTTGCAGTAAATCACACACTGCCTTTACCTGTCAACTCCAGAGTAGGACAATGATTTGACTCTTCACTATGTGTGAGACAATCCAAATAAATGCATCTTGTGTGTAAAAAAGCAGAACAGAACAATTCAAGGCTTTTGAAAAAAGCATCATTTATTTCAAAGTACAACACAAAGTTGTATTTTTAAGAAATACACATTCAATCTTGTATCTCAAGACTTGGCTATGTGCATTTCAGTTTATCTTTAAAATAAATTCAGGTATACAAATGTTACATACCTCAAGTACAAACAGCACAGAAAATGCGTATGGTCTCAACCGAATGTTTTTACATTCATCCACTGCTTGTAAGCTGACATACATTTCTGTAATCTGCTTTAAACCAAGACAGCCTTACTTTAAAAAAATACTCTGTATTTTCAGCACAAAGTCTTCATACATTTTTAAAATTAGATCTTGGCGCATAATATTGTGAAGTTATTAAAAACCAAACTTGGTAATTTAGTAAAATTGTCAACATGCCAGTACTTCGGAATCAACTCAAATTACCCCCTTAGCGGCAATGCCAAGTCTGTGTTCAGATAGGTAAAGAAAGCGTGGAGAAGACAGGTAAGGAACACGGGGAGCAGTTACGGTTCTCACACGTACAGGTCTTAGTAGGGTTCGTGGCTGAGCCCAAACTTTTCTCTAAAAGCACAACAGCAAATCTCATATTATCATTAATTGCAAGAGAGATCTGAAAGAAGCGAGTGGTGCAAGCCTGCCCTGCTGGGTCTGTTTGGCAAGGATGAGAAGGGAGGGGTGGGAGCAACAACAGTAAGAGCCTGAAAGAGCTGTCTCAAACCTGGGCTCTTGCCATCTTGACAAGGGGCCCCCACAATTTGCTTTTTGCCTAATTTCAATTCTCATGAGGGAAGTGTGCATTCGACCAAGGGTCGGAGCTTCTTCTTCCAATTGTGGGGCTCCATATCCTCCAGGGGTTATAGGTCTGTCCCAAGTCATCAGCTGGACTGGAGGTGTTGGCAGAGTGCGAGGTGGGGGAGTTTTCTGCACCCAAGAGGCTGATGCCTGACAGTGTGTTTGCTGGAGTTGTGAAGGGAAGGGCACTGTTGAGGTTGCTGGACCAGATCGAGTTGCTGAATGGAGTAGTAGACCACAGGCCGCTGGTGTTGCCAAGGATCGACTGCAACAGAATAGAGGACACCTGACACTGAGCCCGAGGCTGAGGTGGGCAGGTGAGGGGCTCTGCACAGATGGAGCTGAGGCTCCAGATCTTTCTCACTTTACCTGGAACACATCCATCTACGCAGCTATATTGCAATGGGAGAAAACGGCTCCAAACAGCTTGGCTGCTGCCTTGCAATCTCCCTGGAGCAGTCGCTCACCTGCAGGTGCCACTGGGGCTACTTCTACACCACAACAATGGCACCAAGTAGGTGACACACAAGCAGGATGCCCCTCAAAGTCTCAAACATAGGCAATCTGACCCTACCATTTGCTGATCATGATTTACAGACGGCTGAGGTGCTTTCGAAATTGATATCAGAATGATTAGAAGTGAAAGCCAACTTTGGAATCTACGAAAATAAAATCTGTGAAATTAAAATATCTCCTGGCAAACTTTACACATCTAATTTAGTTTCCTGAAAACAACGAAGTAATCACAGGGATTTTTTCTGTTGTAATTCTGGGAAAGCTGAAATGATTATTTTCCTGGATAAGAGGGCAATTTTGGAGCATAATCTTTCCAGAAAAATTCAGCTGAGAAGCAAACAAATGTGTACTACCAAAGCTCAAGCTAAGACACAGGTGCTGTTCAGAAACAAAATACAGTGGTGCCTTGGTTCACAAACGCTTCTGGCAAAATTCTGTTTTTGTCTGCAAACTCAACATTGGATGACAAACATGACCACGGCCATCTTTTTTGCATGAACACAAATGTGGTCATTTTCCCCAGAACTGTGGAATTAATTAAGTTCATGAACTGAGGCACTGCTGTGAATGCAACCTTGCTTCTGGGGGCCAGTGAAGCCATGCCCAGTCATCACCTGGATCACACCTGTGCTCCAGCTCACAGGTTGGAGAGGGTGACGATGGCCCTGGGCTGTGGTGGCAAAACTGGGGAGCAGCCCCACAGTAGCTCACTATACTCCTGAAGCGTCCCAACCCTGGTGGCTCTGGAGGGCAGTGACAGACCAGTTGGCAGGATGTGAATGTAGCAGCGGGGACCATGGAAGTATTCTGTCAGCACCGTCCAAGTGAGAGCAATGACTGAGGTGACAGTGAGGGGCCAGGGCCTGAGTACTCACGGTGGCCGTGTGGGTCGGGGAGCTGGAACTAGCTGGCCAGGAGGGGCTAGGATCTGTGGCTGGTGCGTCCCACAGGTATGAAGGGCCACTGCTAAACTCATTCCAGCTCCTCTGTGAGGCCTGATTGCAGGATCGCGGTAACCCGAGTTTGCTGAAAACTTCTGAAAATAAGGAGACAATCGTCAAGTCTGTATTTTATTTTGCTGTGACCCCTGGGCGAGATGGGGCTCCCTCAGTTGCACACATCCCACACAACTCACCTGGAACTGCCATACACACTTCATCACTCCCACCACATGCAAGGGGGCTGGGGGAGGGCGGCCCCCAGAACTCAGGCACAAGGCAGCACGTGCATCAGACACTAACATCACAGCCACAGCCACTGCCAAACTCATTTGCTGCCTCTAATTCTAGCTGGCAAGAAACAGGAGGTGGCACCCTGGATCCTGGGCTCTCACTTAGAGCAGAGTCCTTCCAGGGCGCTCTGACGTGCGTGAGGGTGTGTGGGGGGCACCAGCCAGCCAGCATACACACACATACACAGCAAGGCCACCCCACTGCACCACAGGCCGGCAGTGTGGATGTGAGGGGACCGGGCAGGAAAGGGACCCTTCCACAGGCCACCGTACTGTGCTTCCCACACAGAATGGTGGAAGGGGTGAGTGGGGCCGGGCTCCTGAGAATCCCTCCAGGAGAGTGACAGAAGAATTCACTTCCCTGAAACCAGCACGGAAACTTTCTACCGGCTAATGACTAGGTTCTGACTTCCGGGGAGCAACGCACTGTAAACACGTCTCCACACCAGTCAGGCTTCCCCTTGCACCGCATAACACACGGACCTATGCTGCCTCTTCCTTCCTTCTTTGTCCCTGGCTGATTAGTCACAGGCCAGTGTTAAACACTCACCACCGGTTAGATTAAAAGAATTTCCAAAGGCGGAGAACGAATTGAGGGGGGTGAAGTCAGGGCTGCTTGGGTTGCTGACGGGGCTCCACAGACCCGAGCTGGAGGTTACAGGAGGAAAAGGCAACACACAAATGGCTGAGTTAGTGAGACGGCCCACACCTCCGAGGGGAGCTTACACTCACAACAGACAGGGAGCTGGGCGCACCCAAGGGTCATGGCAGAAAGCTACAGGGCTGTGCCCCATGCTAGCTGTGAGCTGAATGAGGCAGTGTTTGAAAAGAAAACATACATTTTACTTCATTTTTTTTCGGTAAAGACAGATCTGTTAAAGAGCTATTTCCAACCTAGGACCCATTTCCTATTCATGCAAAGTGGGTAAACGGGGGCCCTACTGACAGGCTTTAATGTAGTTCTTGTTATTTATCTGGGAAAGTCTGTAAGTGACTGCTGATGCCACCATGTCACTGTGTAAAAAACAAGCTGGTGCTTTGGGTCCAGAGCGTGGCATGGCCAGAATTTACTATGCTTATATTTGGGCCAAACTCCTTCCTCCCAAGTATGGTTTGGAGTCTGTAACAGCAAACTAGACCCAGCTTCCCATGTAGCCCACTCATGGAGAGAAGCAGGGCAGATCTGTTGGACTTGTCCTCTGCAGGGCTCTGTCAGGGAGGCCCAGTAAACCTCTCTGCTTTTACCCAGTGGCACCTGACAACTTCGTCCCCTGAGATGAGGGACAGAGTGCCTGGAAACCATCTCTGGACTGAGGTGCCAACCCAACCCTGGGTTAAGAAAGGTCGACTGTACCTGTCTGAGCCATCGCTGTCAACAGGAATGTGTGAGATGCCAAGGCTGCTGGAAAAATCTATTTTGTTTGAAGACACTTTAGCAAAGCCATTCCCACCTGCAACGAGGGACCCGGAACCAGTCAGAGGCAGAGCGGGACCCAGCCGTTCTAGTACCACGCCCTGGGAACAGGTCTCAGAAGTGGAGGCACTCACCAGGGCTCTTGTCGTAACCCGCTGTGACAGCGGCAAAGGTGGGGTTGCCGTTTTTGCCAGGCAGTGAGGCTGCTTTTGTCAACTTGTTTTTGCTGCTGTTCAGCTGCTTTGCTTTTGGATCACTTGAGGCAAGAAGCAGAGAGAGGAGTGATTGGTGTTGGCAGTGTGGGCTGGGAGGCTGTGGGGCACCTGTCCTGGGGAGCAAGGCCTGCAGGACATAGCCCGACACCTGAGTCGGTGCTGCTGGGGCATCTCACAGAAGATGCTCTGTGCCCAAGACTGCTTCCTCACATGAAAAATGAGGGGTATCTTGGGATTTAGGAAAGAATAGGGCAGGGATCACAATGTAGGGGCAGTGGGTGACCACAGTTTGGAGAAGAAACTGAGGAGCCACTGGGCAGAGATGCTGTCAGAGGGTGGGCAAGCCCACAGAGGACAGGAGCCCACCCACCCTCACCAGCAGGCAGGGTCACATGCTCACCAGGCAGGGGCCATAAGCAGGGTGGCCCCCAGCCTCAGTGTTGCTGCCTTTCTCGTTGGCATGGGAAGACCTGACACCAAGCTTGCTGGTGGGACACAGCTCTGGCACATGGTGCCACCATCTTCACTTTAACTGTCAGGCAGACACGAGGGCCGCGGCACCATGTCAAGGTAGCAACGCTGGGCGTCTGGAAGGCCTAGTGCCTACCTGGTGGAGGTGCTGTTGACAATGCTGCTGTAGCTGCCCCGGGATGTGAATGGGCAAGGGGCAGTGGGAGGTGATGGAGAGGTGGGTGTCGGTGAGGTCTGGCGTTGTTTTAAGAAAATGTCTGCGTTGAGGGTTTGCAGAGAAAGTTTATAAAGACTGTCAGTAGCTAGAAATGAAAAACAAAAGTTCTCATTAATGCAGTATTTTGGTTTGTAGTCTTCCCAGTCAGTTACTGCTGATGTTCTGAAACAATGCACAACTCAAGCACTTCTACAAAGAAAACAAATTAAAGCTCTTACGGACCTGTTTAAAGGTTTTAAAAGAGAAAAAAGAATCTGTGACACTCAGCTCTCCAAGAATCCCACGCCCATAGGGTGATCTTGGTAGCTTCAGTCACCCTTTACTGTCTCACCATCCCACCTGGGCAGCTGGAGCTCCACTGCCGCTGCTGGGGATGTGGAAGAGCCTCGGCCCTCATCTGGGTTCACAGCTGTGGCAGCAGATATAGTGCCCAGGCTGACATCCCCAGGTCTACAACAGGAACACCTGTCACCCCCCGAAGGCCTGCTGTGTGCTGCTCTGCTCCCTGTTTTAAAAGGACACTGGCTCTTGGGATATTCCCACACCCATCAGAGCAGCCTCTACATAGCCGTTTTAAAGATTTAAGGCAGAAAAGTCACAAAATATTTGCATTCAAGATGGAAATATATATACTTTTAAATAAAATTTTGCACATCTACTGTGCACCTCTTGGTGCTGTTCTTTTTTTTTTTTCCATTAAGTTCATTGGTACATTTCAGGTATACAATACAGTTACATTCATCATTGGAATCTTTATGCTCTTCTTGACCCCAAGATGTGAAGCATCATCAGGGAGTCTGGCTGCTAGGGGGTCCCCAACCCTGGTGTGCCAAGATTGGTGTTCCACTGTAGCCTGGGTGGCCTCCAGTGTCCACCCAATCCCTCCCCCTCTCTCCATGCCTTTTGCTCTGGCTTGCAGAGCTGCAGCCTGCCTGGGGTACTCACTGAACCCTATCACTGTCCAGCCCCACAGGTTCTCCCTGCATCCCTGTCCCACATGATGTCAGGACCCACATTATGGCAGTGCCAAGAACACTCCCTGCTCTGGAAGCCTCACTTCCTGCCTTCATGGGTGCCTTCTGCCTTAGCCGCTGCTTTTCCACCTTAGTGCTGGCCCCCAGACCCTCTTCCCCTGAACACGTGCCCTCCAGCCGCATTGCTGCCTGTGCCCAGCGCCTATCCCAAATGGTGCCCCATATGAACCTGTTCCCATTCCTCTGCCCTCTCATCCTCTGCAGAGGCATCCACAGTTAATGCTTCAGGTAGGAACCCAACATAGGGGACGGGCAGGGAAAATCTCACAGGGTATCTGCAATTAGAGAACTTTTTGCTCCAAATATTAGATTTTTCTCTGTGGCTTTCTAGCTGCCTTTCCTTTGTATTTTTGTCTTTTTAAACCAAGGAACTTCTCAGTGTCCCACATGGTATAAGGCCCTGCACGGAGGGCTGCCCCTTGGGACAGTGAGAGCTTATGCACAGGTTTCAGCGCCTACCTGAGACCACTGCTGCACCCAGTCAGGAGCACCCTGGATGGCAGGACTGACTTTACTTCCCTGGGCATCTGTTTAATAGGGAATTGCCCTAGCATAAGGTATAAGCCAAGGACCAACATCCAGCAGGGCCTCCGTGGGCATCCAAAGAGCCAAGCTGTCTGCACACATGAACCCATTCACACACTTGGGCAGGGCTCTGTATGACCTTGGACCTAGGAACGCAGTTCACTTCTGGCAAAAAGACCAAGACTAACTGGGGCTGGCAGGGTCATGGCAGGCAGGTGGCGCCAGGCTCCAACATAGAACACATCTCTCACTGGCTGACGTGCATGCAGGCAAAACACCACAGCACCTGAGCGACCAGCCTCTGCACGCATACAGCCCACTCAGTGCCCTGATCCCCACTGTGGCACCATCTCTGCATCTTCATCTTCAGCCACCCCATCCTGTCCATCTGCCTCATTTCCTCTCAGTAAGGACAAGCTGGCTGAAGGTCTGCTCTCCAGGGCAGGAAGTGCCCTGCTCATGGGCCCTTCCTTCTCTTGCTCTGCTGTCTTCTATCTCTGGCCTAAGTGTCTACAGGGCAAGCACTTCAACCTGTATTCAGCAGACTGTGCTCACTGTCTTGATTTATCACAGGTCAAATCTGAGCAAAATCAGGGAATCTTCCTGCAGCTGCTTATGTAAAAATGTGGCTGAGGTGGGGAGTGAACTGAATGTGGCAAAGCGATTCTGGGATACATGTGGAGGAAACCGTCGCAGGCGCAGGATGACTGGGTCAAGGCTTTTGTACACTGAACACTTCTGGGATGATCAGCCACTGCAGACAGTCCACTCTACTGTGCACACAGGCAGTGGCATGCCAGCCTGCTGGAATGGGGAGCCCTCAGGTGAATCCCTGGTATTTTCTCTGGTGTAAATACACTTTTGGGGCCAGCTTCAATCTCTTAACAGTATAACCACTGGCTACACTGCTTAGCCATGGGCCCTTGCTGACTGGTTCCAGTTGGCTATGATGCTGGCCTCCCCTGAAAGCAATATGCCTGCCTCAGGGGGCCCACACCCAGAGATGGGGAGGCCGTGGGTGCAGGGAGCAACATGATTCCTAATGCACCATACTTACAGCTGCCGGGCTTGTGAACTGGTATGGCATCCCACTCTGGAGGAGGAGAGTCCTTTTCACCCTCTGAGCTACTGGTGTTGCCCAGTTCTTGACTGTTTGGGAGGAATTTTGCTAGGGCGGGTGGTCTGTTGTCCACTAACTTATTTGTACCTGCACAAAAACCAGAAAAGAGAGTCATTAGTGGGGGACAATTTCTCTTTCAGGTCTGTCTCGCTGAGGCTGTCAATGAGGACAGGAACACCGCCTCTGCCCCCTAATGTGATTGATAATTGATGCTACTAACTCACAGCAATTACAGATACGGTGAACTGTGAAAACACCCATGCGACCAAAGTGGCGGTACCTTTTGTTTTCTGGGAACTTCGTGACTTGGATCCACTTGTCAATGGGGTTGGAAGAGGAATCTTGGTTGGCAGATTTCTCCGTTGTTTACTTTCCAGTGGGGGAGTACACGGTATTTCTAAAGAACTGAAAGACAATCAAGCATGAGGATACAGATGTGTCCCACTGTTTTGGAGCAGGGGTAGAAAAGACTAATACTATAATTATCCTACAATTCTACTGCATGTCTAACATGGTTCTGGGAGGTGTGGCCCACCCACACTGCTGGCCCAGGACCAGTGCATTCTGAGCAAGGTAGGAATGCTCAGAGGATGCCTAGTACGGCAGCATTAAATTTTCTGTTCTGAGCGCTGACAGGGTGTGGAGGTGAGGTCGGCATGCCTGCCTCAGGTAACATGTGCCTTGAGCACCAGTCTCTGTACCTGGACTCTGGCAGCCCTCCTGAATATGGGGAGTCTGGGGGTCTCGGACTTACAATCTCATAGGTTCTGCTATTCACAACCTTGGACACATTTCCCCATAGAAACTGCAAGGAGCCAGGCCAAGGAGAAGTACTGAGCCCACACAGGGCAGCAGGCTGCTTCACATGCAGGTCCAGGTCAATGCGGCAGGGCAAATCCTAGGTAACCACTATAAATATTTTTTATGGAATCACTGAGGATCTAAATGATTCTGAGGTAAGCTTTCAATAATAAACATACATTGTATAAATAGGACAACTGACTGAATTTCTTGTCAGCCAAGGAAAAACAGTCTGATGGACTATTTTAAGCCCTCCACACTGATGAAGACATTAAATCTGCTGGGAGACAAGTAGTCCAGAGAGGGAAGCTGCAGGAATGTGCTGGGTAGCACGCCTGTGGAGGTAACACTGTGCGTACCACTAACACACGGTGACAGTATTCTTTATAAAGCTGCCTCTGTGCTGCCCACCAAGACCATGCCTTGGACCTGGGGGCCTTGAGGAGGTGCTCTGGTGACCGTGAGACACAGCTGTGGGAAGCCAGGGCCCTTGTGGGGAATTATCCCAAGAATCATCAGCAGTTACCACTGAGCTAAGGCTCAGCCCACAGCTTGCTTCTCCTCACAGATCTATGACATCTGCACACATAGACATATCTCTGGTACTCCCCACCTCTGGGTATACTTGCCACCCTCAGTCCTCGGTGTGACCATAGCCTGTCCTCAGGCTCCCTAGCCTCACCCTCTGAGGTCTACCTGCACTGCACGATCTTCCTTCCACCGCCATCCCTAGAGCCCTGCCACCTGCCAGGTTTGGGCTCAGGGACACTCATTGCACCAGTGCATGACAGATCTGAAAGCTCAGAAGGGTCCAGATGTCCTTGACCCATGGTCACCAGGACACCCTGGCTCTCTTTCCAGGACAGTGAAGTGTGGTCTCATAAGTGAATAAACATGTTTTAAAGAAGGCTACTTACAAACACTTTGTAAGGTGGCAGAATCAAAAGTCATTTGCATTTTTTATTTTTATTTTTTTACATTTTATATATTTTCCACAATCCTATTTTACATGGAATTAGTAAAAGAGCTAACCAAAAACCCAGCAGGTCTCTTTTGGCCCAAATCAGTAGAATTTTAGGTAGGATGATAAGCTGAAGTGAAAAAAACCCACTTGTTATGGGTGAGACTGTTAATACTATGGTATTATAAAATCATCTGTCCCTCTTCCACTTCTGACAGTGTTATTTAAAATCTGTTTTCTAAAAAAACCTCCAAAGGCTACCATGACACAGACACTCAGCCCTCCAGGGGGGTGGTGTGGGTTAGGGTTATTTCTAGGCAAGGTTGGCTGAGGAGTGGGGTGTCTGTTTATTCAAAGCTTAGCTCTGTGCCACTAAAAAATTAATTGGCTTTTTAGAAAAAAGGTGCCAGACTATTTTATTTTTGTGGATTCCTATGTTCCTAAATTAAGCCAGATGATCTCTGGCAAAAATCCCTTTTTAAGGCTTCAAAATAAAATGGAGAGCCAACTTACTTGAGATGATTCTTTCTAAAGGGAAAGAGGAGGTGGCCTGGCCAGGCTTCCTCTCTGCTCAGGCTCCTGTTTGGGGAGAGGGATGGAGCTGAGGGCTCTCCCTATGCTGATGGCACTGTGCCAGTGTGTGCAGCGTGGTGTTCACAGCCCTCACCCTATGTCGAGCACGTTAAAGTCACCTTTGCTCACTGGAGATCATTACAGCTACTTAAACATGCAGAGACATGATGGACAGACAGGAAAACAGAAGACCAGTAGGTAGGTGGTTCCTAATACTGAGACGGGATTCTTCTCTGCTGGCATCTCTGACCCAGAACAGCCTTCTGGAGGTCCACAGGCCTGTTTGTATGGTGTCAGTGCTGGAGAAATGGAGATCCCAGTTCTGCCCTGCAGCCTTGTGCTCCTTCCTTAGGTTGGGGCCGACTGTTCTGAAGTCCACTCTTGGGGAGTGTGGGAGGAGATGGAGGATGAGCCACCCCCGGGCTTTATCAGCATGTGCAAAGTTCCCAAGAGGAAGTGGGTATGACACCTTATCAAGGAAGCCTTGCTGTGATAACTTATCCTTTAGGTATGTGGGTCACAGCCAGCAGGTCTCTCTGAGTGAGGATCTGCCGTGACTCTGCCTGACCAACAGCAGCAGCACCCATCACAGCTCAGGGCACACGGGAATGGCTCTACTCAGAAGCAACTGTCTTTGGTTATTTACAAAATCAGACTCTGTCTAACTGTCTATTTGATTCATGAAATAATTCTGATTCTCAATATTTTTTGGAAAAACAAAATGATCAGTGAACTAAAAAGGATTAGATTAAGTGGATTAAATTAAGGAGATTAAAAGACTGGGGTTGCACATGGATTTTTCCAGTGATAAAAAGATAGTTTAAAAAAGTAATTTAGAGAATATGGCTTGAACTGTCCTCTGGTAATGATTTCTTCTCTTGGCTATGCATCAAGAGATCCCAGGGGCCTGTTGGAACCATCACCCCAGGGCTGGGAATAGGGAACTGACTGCTCTAGCTTCTGCTTTACCAGGGAACTGGAAATCCTTGCAAAGGTAGTGGACTCAAGCGAAGTCTTTCACAGACTCTACAAATTCAAATCTGCTATTCTGATAAAGTCAGAATATAGCAGAAGTCAGTGGAAGAAAGATGAAGGTCAGGATAAACATGTCCTATCTACTTAGTCTCAGGTACCAATCTCAGGCATAAGCAAACAGTAGGTGTGGTCACGGTTACCTACGAGGCAGTATTTATGAGAATTCGTATGAGCTCTGGCTTTTACATTTATTATCGTAAGAACTGTGTATTATCTACTCTCAAAAGATTTTTCCTATGTAAAAACTAGGGTTTTTCATAATCTGGGTGCACTTGCCTCATTTACTGTAAGATATCTTCTCAATCACTTAAGTTTGAAACAGGCCTGAGAGAACACTCCGGGCCTCTGGAGCAGTGCTAATCCTATCCCGGGATGCCATAACATTAGCGCCAGTTGGTGCCTCATGCCAGGTTCTTCAGGAGGGATGCCAGGGTGCCAACCTCCTCTTCAGAAGGGGCCTTCTCCTCTCTTTCTCTCCCCTCACATGGTCCACCTGACATTCCTTCTAACTGGACCACACTGTTCTCAACAAAATGTGGGCCTGGTCATTCAAACTAACAATTCTCACAGAAGACTAAATTTTCGATAGAAATACTCCATTTGTAATCAGTGCCATAAGTCATTTCATAAGCTCAGGGCTCAGGCAACATTTTACTGTGGTAATCTCTACAGAACAGGACTGGCCCTGCCTGAGGCCAGCTGTTCAACAACAAATCCAGGTTAGTCATTTTTTTGCAAAGTCAAGTTTTATTCCCAGAATCAGAGTCAGAACTTTCCACAGAATAGACTTTCACAAATTAGGCCTGGATGAACAATGATAAAAAACTACAACTGCTTTTTTGATTTAAACCCAATGCCTTGACGTCCCACATCATTTCCTGCTGTCTGTCCAAAAGAAGGCAGTGCTACTGGACATTTTTATGACTAACTACGAAGGGGATTATCAATGATGCCAATACTAAACTAGGTTTATCAGGAATGTAGACACCAACACAGGGTCTAAAGAGAACACGAAGTGACCTTAGTGCAGTACACTCATTCACTTGGAGAGACACTTGCAGCAAGGCCTCCCTGTGGGGCCTGCCTGAAGCCTGAGGCACAGTCTGAAGTGGAGTTAGTTCATGGACAAACTGTCTGACGTGGACATTTGCCTGACAGTTTCTAGGGAAGAACAAACTCTTCCAAGTTTTATGGTACACGATTCTAGATCCCCACTGTGGCTCTGGGTCTCTACAGATGCAGAGGTCTTTGTGAGAAAAGCTATGCTCCTCCTGCTGGACCACCGATATCACCTTTGTGCACAAGTGAAAGGGTTCTTTGCCTGGGAGTGAATCATAAACCTAAACTTCTACAACAGATTGTTAATCTTGTCCTCTACATGTCTGGCTGTCCTCCATCCGCAACCCAAGGGAAACATGAAGCAGGACCCAGATTTTGCTACCAGAATCCCCCCAAAACCAACCGACCAAAACAATACCCGACTTTCACCAGCTACTTCCTTTGTGTACCCTTTTTTCTCTGTACTTATTTTTCTTACCTGGGTTTCACATCTGTTGGGATTTCTTTCTTAACATGAACAAGTTTTTTGCTCTTTTGCTTCACTTGAGACATTTCACTTTCATGTTTTTCAGGAATGGCTTGTTTTCCCTTTTGCTTTTCCGTGTCCTATTAAAAAAAAGTACACTTAATTGCTTGAGAAGGATTAATAGAAATGACTGAAATGAGTTCCATTTGAAGATAAGGATACAAAATCTACAATGTAAGAGATCTATGTGTCTTACATGTTAACATGAACAGGCTCCTTCGTGCAAGTTGATCTTTATTGTGTTTCTGGCAGGTTTGCAGCCATTTAAAGTGTAACTGTGATGTGGAGAGTTTAAGTTATAAAGAAGGTCATTTTAATTTATACTCTGTCCTGACAGTAATGGATGGTGCCAACAGCAGCATCAATTGGTAATTCCTTATTTTTAAGTATTAGGGAGTAAAACCTTATCTTTATTGGTATGAAAAGTTCAGCAAAGACTACAGTGTAAAGTTAAGCACTTCTGGCAATGGCCTCACTCTGAGAAAACACTCCAGGAAAAAAGGCAGAGCAGGCGGCACTTAGTGTACTCCCACCTGCTCCTCCCTGAGCCTGGAGGAGCCACAGTAATGGCTGGTTCAGCTCCAACAGCTCCTCTCCCTCTGTCAATGGGATGGTGCCTGGAATTCATTCTCATATTTGGCACTTGATGCTAGGCAATGGGGTTACCAGGAGGGCCCAATTCCCTCCCTGAAGGCCTGTGAAGTCAAGCAAGAGGAGGACACACATGACAGAGGGCAGTGTGGGCCTCTGGTGTAGAAATGCTCCCTCGCCAGGCTGGAGCACAGAGGGTCTGTCAAGCCTGGCTCAGATGTGGGAAGTGCAAGCCTGAGATGCATCTGAAAGCTATGGTTGTCAATTGGTCCACCAGTTGCTGTTTCTGGGCCTTTGTGAGATCGGTTCATGAAATGCTCTATATATTTCTGGAGTAACGTGATGCTGCTGTGACAAACACACCATCCTGCGTTATCATGGGCCTGTTTCCTAACAAGGGTGCATGCTGGCCCCCTCAGGAGTCACTGAGCTGCCAGGGGAGCTGCACGTAGAGGGTGCTGGGCACTAAAACAACCTGGCTCTTCACCACTGCCACTAAGAAGTATGGGGCTAGTTCAGGGGACAGACAATGGAAAGGCCATTCTCGGCAATGAGGGACAGCCACAGGTGCGGGGGGCAGGGGGTCTCTACAGGTGGTCAGTAAAGCAGCCAGGATTTCCTAGATCACAACACGCTAGTCCCTTTAACCACCAGGAGTGAATAACCAGAGGCAGGGCAGAAACAGCTCCTGGCACTTGCATCTCTGTATTGGGTTGTTCAAGAAGCAATTACTGAACCCATGACCTGTCGAGTGGTCTACAGACCCAGAGCTCTGTGAGGACAAGGATGTGGCCTTTTTGTATATGACCTGGCGCTTAGGTGACTGACACATATTTGTTCACTGAATGGATGGATCAGGGCTGGAGAAGACAAATGACCTGGCAAGGGTAATCCAGTTAGGAAGAAAATACACAACCTGCAACCCAAGACCAGTCACAGAGAAAAGCTCACAGCCTGCAGCCTGAAAGTGCTGTATAGGAGGGGCAGACTCATGGGGGTGGGCAGCAGGTGCAGAGGCCTTCTAGAGACTGTGAGCTCTGGGCTGCATCTGTGAGGGCTAGGCTAGGGTGCCAGAATGATGCTGGTGCCAGAAGGTGCAGGGGATACTGGTGGACCTGTCAGTAGGAGACAGTGAGCTGGGGTGACGAGGAAAGGGTCTGGAAAGGCAGGCTGAAGAGAGAATGACTATGCCAAGGGCTTCCCAAATGCCGCTCACACAGTGGAGCATGAGGGGGTGGGGGCAGGGCCACCCTGCAAGATTAGCACTGGGAGCTCTGCTGCACTCAAGTAATTTATTAAAATGGACACAAAATACATGACTCCAGCACTAGTTAGGAATTCTACCAAGGGAGACAGGGCACCACGCCAGTGGTGAGGACATGCAAAGGGGACGGTGGCTGACCTGAACAATGCGTTACATACACATTTTATTTTAAGAATTAATTCATCCAGCTGATACTGTTGAATGTGTTTAAGAAGTTTCCCTTAGGTGTTCAGATTGAAACTGAAAAATAGATTCTGGTCCACAACATTACAGGCTATATTAAGATCATTTTAAATTTGAAATCTATCCAGAAATAGGGGCCAAAGTAGAACTCTATCCTCGCTCTTTTGGACACCATGTGTAACTCACCCTCTTAGACACACTGACAACTGTAACTCTACCCTCCAGGTCCTAATGGCTGCTCTGTGCCGGGCACAATGTGCTATTATTATTCCTGAGCTGGTAATGCTCCTTGAGCTGAGGACACCCAGGGGCAAGGAGGGCAGTGTCTTTGATGTCCTGTTTGGGTGCCAGTTTGGGGTGACCTTCTCTGGGCCACAGTCCCTCTGGGGCAGTCACTGCTCTACCTCCCTGAGGATTGAGTGGCCACCAAAACCTTGCTCCTAACAGTGACAAGATGACACAATGAAACCGACACTCAAAATCAGAAACAGATTTCCTGAGATGGAGCAGTTACTATTCCAGGTGCTCCCTGACTTTCAGGGAGTGTTTCTAGTTTCTGTTTTACTTTGTTAACGTGCTTCCAAATACTCTTCCTTGGGGAAATGAAGTCACTGGTCCCCAGAGGCAGGATGCGAGCTTCCAGGCATGCCCGTGCACACTGAAACTTGTCCTCAGAGTGAGCCCATGTCACACACGAACCACTAACGCTGTGCTAACCCAGGACCTATGGGGCAATGGTCTGACACCCACAAGAGCTCGCCTCCCCACGTTGTCATTCCACAACCCTGTGTACCTCCTTGAGGAGCGGCTCTGTGTCAGGGTTTGAGGTCTCTGTGGTGGTGGAGGAGCTGTCGTCATCAGCCAAAGAGTCTTTCAGCTCATCATCTTGGGGTTTTCCCTTTCCCTTCTTTTCCTTTTCCTCTTGCTTCTTAGGCAGTTTAACCTTGCGCTGAAGAGGTTTTCCTTTCCCTGGGGATGAAAAGCAAAGTAAAATAATTCGATTTGTAAGCAGTTCAGAAAACAAAGCCATTACAATTTTTTTTGGAAGAAGCTGGATTCTTCTCATTAATAAAGGTTTCTTTCACTACTTTATTTCTTCTTGATTTAAAGCTTTCCAAAGCAGGCTTGACTTTGTGATCAGATTACTGAGGCATGGTTTATGTACAATAGAATGCACCTGGCACAGGTCTGTACCTGGATGAATTTGAACAAATGCAGGAGATCTGGCAAGTCTAAGAGTATTCCCTGGGTAACAGGGCTTTGGAAAGTCACAGAAGTGAAAACCAGATAGCTTTTTTTTGTTTTTGTTTTTGTTTTGGTACCGGGGATTGAACTCGGGTCCTTATGCTTGCACAGTAGGTGGCGAAACCACTAAGCTAAATCCCCAGCCCAAACCAGATAGCTTTTGAAACAGGCTGGGAGACAGAAGCTTGGTGGTGACATCAAGATGAGCTGATGAGATGAGCTGTCACTTGAAGCAGCAGAGCCATGGTGGCTGGCCCCAATCCTGGCTTTCCCAGGGAGCTTTGTGACCCTGGCCCCTTGTCTGTGTGATGGGGAGACGAGACCATATAGGGCTGCAGTGAGAGATTACAAGGAGCCTCAGAATGGCAGCTGGGACAGGAACCCTAGAGTAAAGTGGAGCTAAGAAAAGATTAGTATTTTAAAAGATCCAGAAGCTACTAAGATGAATGAGAAGCAAGCCATGACACATTTCCTAGGCAATATTCTGTGTGCTGTGACGACAGAGATGAACAAGGCTGATGTTCTGTGGGGACAGACAGACAGACAGAGAAATCCCTGGATCCCAGCCCTGCAGGTGCATCTGCAAAACTACCCTGGCAGGCAGGTGAGGGCTACAGAAGCTGTCCAGCCCCGTGTGGGCCCGCCCTGCGGCTGACATCATTACTCGCTTGACACATCCTTTTGAAAATGATGATTCTGTACAACTTTACTTCAGCGTTGATGTTTTATGCTTCATCCCCAAGAATGCCACTATTAACAGGTTCCAGGGACTCAAACCCTGGCATCTAGAAAAAGAGCTGGCAAACTGTGGCTCACTGGCTGAATCTGGCCTGTTGCCTGTTTTAAGGAGTTGAAAAAGAAAGAATACAGAGAACAGAGGCAGTGTGTGGCCCATAAAGCCTCAAACACTTTATTACCTGTCCCTTTATGGAAAAAGTTTGCTGAGCCTGATCTAGAAGAGTAAGTAAGGTTCTGGCTTGTTTCCAGGAATGTAATTTTCCCACTTACTGTACTCTGATTCTATAAGGTGCTAGCCTCAAAACTGCAACTGGGATATTCATCTAAAAAATAGGAGGTCAGGGGCAGGGATTTAGCTCAGTGGTTCTGCCACCTGCTTCGCAAGCAAAAGGTCCCAAGTTCAATCCCCGCCCCCCAAAAGAGAGGTCTTTGTCTCTGCACGACGCTGACTGAAACACTGGCCTACTGCTGTGTTCTTGACAGGCCCAGAGGGCCAGGACAGAGGGAAACGGTGTATCCTGCTTGGCCAGCAGCATCAGGACCAGTCAGTTCCTGAGAGATCAGCAGCTCATGTGCAGGGAACCTCTAACTTTCCCACGTGACCAAGATCAGTGCCTCACACATGTCTCACCTGTGATTATTCAATTTTATCATGCTTGGGCTCCCCGGTGAGAGGTAGATATGTATATATAATCTTATTTATGATAACCTGAAACCTTCATAATAAATAGGAAAGGCTAGAAATTAATTTTTAAAAAACTGAACTCAGTTTTTAAAGCCATTGACAGATAAAGAAAAAATACTTAAACCAACAATTAAGTGAAAAACTCGGGGGCCAGGGATTTAGCTCAGTGACACCACACCTGCCTCACAAATGCAAGGTCCTGAGTTCGATCGCCAGTACCAAGAAAAACCCCCAAAAACAAAAAAACCCAAGAAGATAAAAACTTGGGTTTAAAAAAGGTTATATGTGCTCTTATAAAGGTTAACAATCACCCCTCACCATCAAAGCCAATGACCTCTCCAACTCACCATCTTGCTCCAAACTTCTCTTCTACTGGACACTGCAGAAGAAACCCCACAACCCCCTCTCCAGTTCCACTGGGCTGACATGATCACTTCGGGTACTTCTATCTTCTGGCCACTTTTTGCTGGCTTCATCTAGCTATGTGCCCTTTTTTACCTTTCTATTTTTCCTGGGGGCTCACTTTAATGAACTGAAATGATGAAAACATAAAATGTCTAAAACTGAGGTGAATATACTAAAAACATCTTTCAGGTTCTCAGTCTATAATAATGGTTCCTAATCAGGTGCACTTCAGAATAACCTAGGGAGCATTAACAAAATACCGAATCTGGGCTCCACCTCAAGAGATTCTGATCTAATAGTTCCAGAGGGAATCCCAGGGTTCTACTGTGGACCGAGATTGAAAATTACTGGTCTATGGTCTCAGCACCCTCCCAATCACCCAGTCCAGTGGCTTCTGTAGTAGCAGGAAGGATTTCTGCCACTGCTTCAATTCTGAGTTCAGACCGGGTGGAGGGAGAGGATGTGCCAGGGAGAAGGGACTGATGGACTGATTAACTAGAGTGACAGTGGAGCCACATCTACCTGCAGGAGGTCGCCATCCCCACCAAGCTGTGCTCCAGGAGTGGGCTTTGCCTTCCCTTGCCACTTGGTGGGTGAAGCAATAAGCTGATTCTCAATGCAAGCTTGTTCCCCAGTCTCTTCCTCGGGGCTGGTTTCCGGTAGAGATTGGGTTTTAGGGAAAGGAGAGATCCTTTAGCCTTTTGTTAGGTCAGTGGTTCTCAAAGTGTTTTTCCAGAATCAGTATCACTTGGGAATTTGTTAGAAATGAAAATTATATGCCCACATTCCAAGTCTAAGGAACCAGAAACTCCGGAGGTGGGCACATGCTCTCAGTGATTGGAGGACTGTAACTATCCAGTCTGTAAATGCTACCCGGCTCATCAGAATCTGGGCTGGGCACTAAAGGCACATGACATGCTGGTAATGATGCAGTGTCACATTTCCTGTTTCTCAGGACCGCGGCATGTGTGTATCCCCTGAGGGTGTCTGGAGGAAATGTGTACTACTGTTAACTGTAGCCACTTTGCTATACAGTAGATCCCAGATATATTCCTCCTGTCCACCTGAAGTCTTCCTATTCCTCCTCTGCCTCACGTCTCTGGTACCCCACTGTTCTACTCTCTGCTTCTGTGTTACTTCACACCTGTTAGAATTGGCTGTTGTCAAAAAGACAAAAGTCTACCATGTGAATGCATATTTTCACAGTAGAATACGGGAATTCTAGGTCATTTGGAAACAATTACCTAAATAATGCAATTTCACTAAGCATCAATCAGCTGGATGGAGTCTACTCTGAGCTCTCCTTTCTTACCTCGCCCTATGGGACCTTCTGTGGCTCAGGGATCTGTCATCTGCTGCCTGGCTTGCTGCCATAGCCCAATCTTCCTGGTTCTTCTCCACCTTCCACACTCAGCAGCAATGACTTCCTTTAGAAATATCTTAAAGCTTACAAATTTTATCCTGTCCCTTTTCTGTAGGATGAAATTCAAATTTCTTCACAATCTGGACCTTTCCATCTGTCCAGGCCTGCCGAATCTTGTCCCTAGAGTCTCACCCTTGACCATGATGGTGACTCAGTTTCCTGAGCCCAAACTGCTCTCTATGCTGCCATGCTGTTCCCAGTGCTCAGACAGTGAGGGAGTAATTTAGAAGGATCCCTTTTCTCTATGTTCTAGCCAGCCCTTATCATTGGTGAAAATTTAAAAAGTTTACATTTTTTAAAATTACACTTGCAAGTGCAAGGTCCCAAGTTCAATCCCTGGTACCAAAAAAAAAAAAAATTACAAATTTACAAATTAATTATGTATATTATACAATTAAAGAGCACAAGGTGTTTTGCTTCATTTTGTTTTTGGTGGTTCTGGAACTGAACCCAGAATCTTGCACTTAGCTTCATCTGCAGTCCTTTGTAAAAAAAATTTGTTTTAAAGACAGGGTCATGTTAAGTTGCCCAGCATGGTCTTGAACTTGCAATCCCCCTGCCTCAGCCTCCAGAGGAGCTGGGATTATAGGTGTTTGTGCCTGGCCAAGGTGATGTTTTGATATGCATTCACTGTAGGCTTTTGTCTTTTTGACAACAGCCATTCTAACAGATGTGAGGTAACACAGAAGCAGAGAGTAAACAGTGGGGTACCACAGGTGCGAGGCAGAGGAGGAACAGGAAGACTTCAGGTGGACAGGAGGAATATATCTGGGATCTACTGTACAGCAAAGTGGCTACAGTTAACAGCAGTACACATTTCTAAGTTGCTACAAGATCTTAAATGGTTTTTCCACAGAAAATGATAAGTGTCCGAGATGATGGACAAGTTCATTAGCTTGATTTAATCATTCCACAATGTAAACACACATCAAAATATCACACTGTATCCCATAAATATATACAATTAAAAAGACTGACAGGGAGAGTGCCCTTAAAAGACGGATTAACTCGGTGCACAGGGGAGGAGATGGGATGTCTCCCAGCCTTCAGGCAACCATGACTCAACTGGTGCATTATAACTAACATAACCTAACCTGTCCATGTTCAGATGGCATGAGCTGACAGGAGAAGCAGCTCAGAGACACTCAGAGTGGATTTCCTCTGAAGTTGATCAAAGAAGGACGATGCCAGTGTGACCCTGGTGACAGAGAAGGGCTCCTGAGAGGGCAGCTGGGTCGACCAGGCTCACACCACCAGCTGATGAACAATCCCGAGGCCACTCACCCTCTGCTTACTCCTACCACCTCCAAGAAGACTTGTGGCTGGGGACACTGGCTTTCTACTGTGGCCACCTAACCCTGGACACGGACTCTTTTGCTACATTTCCCCAGAGATTCTCTTTCCAGGCTCCTAGCACTCACACCTCCCCACCCCTGGCTCTATCTGTGTACAGCTTGAGTATCTTGAGGCAGA